AAGGGATTTTATTCCTCCTGCATGCTCCTGCTGCTTGTTGCTTGATTGCTTGACCCTTAGGCTGCTTGTCTGCGCGGCTTCGCGCTTGGGCTGGCGCTGCGCCGCGTCTGGGTGCCAGCAGTGCTGGTTCTTTTCGGGCTTGTGTTTTGTGTGTGATTGTGCAGCTTCTCGCTGTGGACTGTGTGCCTGCCGGTTCAGCTTGTTCATGCTTTGTTTTGCTTGAGGCACTTTTTACCTTCTGCCAGTAAATCCTATGTCTCCCCTGCGGCGTTTGGTCGGCACTTCGTGCCTGATGACGGACCTGCTGCTGAGGTCTTGGCTCGCAAACGCGCCGCCACCTATCAGCGCCTCACCATGCAGCTGACGCTGGAAGCGCTCTTGTCTGGTGCCAGGCGCATGACGCCCTTGCGGGCGCAAGCACTTCTCGAGCCAGAGGACAGCTCCTCCTCAGACTTTGTCGAGTCGCCCGAGGAGTCTTCGCCGGAGGTCTCCGACTCCGATGGGGGACACCCTTCGAGTGGCCCCGACGATCGGCGCGGAGCTGGCGAGGCGTCTCCGTCCCTCACTGTGACGTCGGGTGCCTCCGGAGAGCTCGACACCACTGGGGTGCTTGCTGCTGGTCCGAGCTCGCCTGCTTCCTCCCCGGCATCGGTCGGGTCACGCCGGTCCTTGGGCATTGCTGCGGCGTCGCCGCCGTCACGGGCGGCTACCACTGACTCGGCTACCACTGACTCGGAGGCTAGCGAGGAGGACTACCTCGAGCGGTACCGTGTTCATGTGTCCAGCCTCCCTCCGTCCGCTGCCCCAGGCGGACCCCCGGGCAACGCCGGCTCCTTGTCGGCGGCTGCCCTTTCTCCGTCCGCGGCCGCCCGCTTTGTGGCGGCAGCGGACGTCTCGACTGACAGTGGTCAGTCGGCTGCCTCCGGGTATCGCGTCTAAGGGATTTTATTCCTCCTGCATGCTCCTGCTGCTTGTTGCTTGATTGCTTGACCCTTAGGCTGCTTGTCTGCGCGGCTTCGCGCTTGGGCTGGCGCTGCGCCGCGTCTGGGTGCCAGCAGTGCTGGTTCTTTTCGGGCTTGTGTTTTGTGTGTGATTGTGCAGCTTCTCGCTGTGGACTGTGTGCCTGGAGGTTTAGCTTGTTCCTGCTTTGTTTTGCTTAAGGCACTTTTTACCTTCTGCCAGTAAATCCTGTACGTCCCCCGGCCACTTGGTCACGGACATAGGATTTACTGGCAGAACAGGTCGGCAGAGCTGCCAATGTAAGGGTGGACCAACGTCACGTCCGCCATCAAGCCCTCGTACTGCTCGGACCCTCGATCGCGGATTCCAGGGATGTGGATATCACCCTTCATCTTGCGGCCATGAGGATGGGAGGGTACCTGCCGTCGAGAACGAGGATCCCCGACTGTATCGATGACGCTCTGAAGACCAGCTTCGTTGAGCATCGACCGAATCGTACGAGTAAGGTTGGAGATGATGTGCAGCAACGGAGGGGTCGAGCTCGCGCTGACATCCATCACATTCCGTCGGACACTGGCAGATCGGCATGCCATGGAGATAGCAGTCGAGCATCTGAGCATAGCGGTGCGGGAAGGCCTTGAGGGGGTAGTAGCTCGAGACTCGCATCGGAGAGTGGCTCAGGTCTCGCTCAGGAAAATGAGCGAAGATGGTAGACTGCAAGACCCTATCCTGCGACTTGAGCGAGTATGTCCTGCGGCTGTGCAAGGTGAGGATATCACGCTGCTGATCGGTCAGCGCAGCGCGAGCATGCACATGGCGAGGGAAGACGCGCATGACAACAGACATAGGATTTACTGGCAGAAGGTAAAAAGTGCCTCAAGCAAAACAAAGCAGGAACAAGCTGAACCGGCAGGCACACAGTCCACAGCGAGAAGCTGCACAATCACACACAAAACACAAGCCCGAAAAGAACCAGCACTGCTGGCACCCAGACGCGGCAGCGCCAGCCCAAGCGCGAAGCCGCGCAGACAAGAGGGGTCACATTTCGCTGCGCAGGCGGAGGAATGAAGTGCTCATGAGACGAGTCGACGAGAGCGCGCAAACCAGGGATGTGTACCACAGATGCCGGGGGGCGTCCTGCGTCATCAGGCACAGCAGCCGGGGCAGGTGGGATCGGCGCGCCATCTGCAGCCGGTGCAGGAGCCCTCACACGACGGTAGAGGATCGCTCCAGCATTATGAACGAAGTCGTGCGCCTCAACGAAGAAGGTCGCCAGAGGATGCTTCTGGGCACGGAGAGATCTCGAGCAGTGAACGTCCAGGCTATGAGGAGAGAGCAGCGTCCGGGACATCGGCTGGTCAGAGTACCAAGCGAGGAAGCGAGCGATAGCCGTATAGTAAACAGCGGGGTGTAGACCCTCAGAGGGCGTGAACTCGTCCCCTCCCCGACTATGCGGAAGCTCCCGCTTGAACCTCGCAAACTCGAGCAGGTCGGGATGCGCGGCGAGGTACTGCGAGGAAGGCCAGCGGTGGTATTTCTCAAGCGCCAGGTGGACAGAGAGGTCAAAGCGACGAATCTGTGATTGGACCCGCGGGAGAAACGGAGAAGACCCCTGGAGGAAGAAGCGCAGCTTCTGGAGATGGCTCGCCCTCACCAGCGTCTTGAACATGAAGCCATGCTGGACGAGCCCGAGCTTCGAGAGCTCTTCGTTGAGGGTAGAAACCTGCGCTCGGAGCTGACTAGCATGAAATCCATCCGTGCCGATAGGCAGGCCGCCAAGTGTAATCCCGCCAGTGACGACCTCGAAGTGAAGGAGTTGAGTCTTGAGACGGCGCTTAAGGCTCTTCTTCAGCTGCGAGAGATCATGCTGTTGATGCCAGGAGGGGATGTAAACTTTCGACTCGCGAGGTTGAATCTCTAGCTTCAGATCAGCCAACATGTACTTCTTCATAGCGGACGTAGCTGCAACGGCATCCTCGAGTGGACCGACAAGCACGACGTTGTCAGCATAGGCCAAGACTCGAACAGAGGGAAAAAGCTCTGCGATATGGAGGAGCAGGGGGTGGATACTGTGGCAGAAAAATACGCTGGAGGGGACATCGCCCTGACAGACGCCCGAGGTACACTGAACGGAGGCTGACTGACTTTTGTGAAAGAGTCGAAGGTCAGCAGAGTCTCCATAGTAGCTGGAGAGGTAGGAGGCGAACAAACGGAGATGCTCGCAAGAGGGCAAGCGAGCGCCTTCAGTGATGCTCCCATCAAAGTAGTCGCGACTCGCACGTCCCTCGATTGCATCGAAGAGAGCCTGGCGGTCGAGGGAGTTGAAGGCGTTCTTTGCATCCAAACTCACCAGCACTGTGGGGTTGGCAACATCCTCATCATCACCGCGAGCGTGAAGGGGCAGGAGCGCTGACGCGGTTTGCGAGAACTTCAGACAGCCGTCTCGATCGAGTCCGAACTGAATCGCTCGAGGGTGAGACGAGAGGAAGTGCTGGTCAAGAAATGAGCGAATCGCTGCCAAAGCAAGCTTCGTCGCGAGTCGACGGTGTGCAGAACCGATGACAATTGGCCGGAGACCAGGTTTATCAGCTCCCTTGGAGAGGGGAATAATCTGCCTCCTCGACGAATGGCTGACAGGGCAGGAATAAGAAGATCCGGCATTTGGCCAAGAAGATCCCTTGGAGATA